CGCACGCACACGTGCCCAGCGTGAGTTTTAAGCCACCAGGTCCGGGACACGAACCGCGGTTGACTACGTGGGAGTCCAGCAACATAGCCATTACGCCAACTGCTGGTCCCTGTCTCATTTTTTTAAACCTCACTCATATTTTTATTAAAAAATTTAGGGAACCAGCAGTTGGCGTAATGGCTATGTTGCTGGACTCCCACGTAGTCAACCGCGGTTCGTGTCCCGGACCTGGTGGCTTAAAACTCACGCTGGGCACGTGTGCGTGCGTGCCCAAGATCCCGAGAGGAGAACGGAGGAGAAGGGATTGCGATGTGACCATTCCCCCTGGGGGGTGATTTCTCACTTTCTGTCTCTATGTCTCTCTCTGTCTGTCTGGTGAGCGCACGCGCCCTGTAGCAAAAACCTCTTTAAAAAATTATTTTATTCATTTATTATTACTTGTTTGTTTGATCAGAGAGAGACAGAGAGTGAGAGTGAGAGTGAGAGAGAGAGAGAAAGCAAGCCGCGAGGTCTAGGACTCACCATACAGACAACCATGTGGGAATCCAGCACTTTAACCACCATAGAACCTGCCAGCCCCATATATTTTTTTTTATTCTCCATGTTTCATTTTGAGTAATTTCTTACACCTTCCCTTCATTCTTTTTCTCTTCAGCAAGGTCCAATGTGCTGTTAAATCCATCCACTCAGTTCTTCATTTGGTTATTTTTCAATTCCAAAATTCCCATTTGGCTTTTTTTCTAGACCTGCCAGTCACATTTTTGAGTTTCTACCTCTAAACCAGCTTTTTCAAGCTTGGTGTTTACTTACTTAAAATAGTAAGCATGATTGTTTTATTGTCTGATTTTCCATTATACAGGGTTTCCACAGATCTCTTTCGTTTGTCTCATTTGCCCTGGTTCTCATTGTAGTGGCTACTAGCCTCATGCACTTGATTATTCTGATCATATGCTGAACACAGTATTTGAAAAATTACTTGTAAAAATAACTTGGAGCCCAGGATAATATCTTCCTTAAAGAAATATTCTGTTTTACCAGGCATTTGGAGGATTTCTTAATCCATTCAGGGTTTGAGGTTCTTCTGGATGCAATCTGTGCAACAGCTGGTTTTCCTCTGGTTTACCCTCGCTCCTAGGGTGCAGCCTAGTGAAGTTCTAGTCCTAATGGCAGAGCTAGAACTTCAACACGTACCCAGCATGTTTTTCTTTCTTTTTTAAAAAACCTTTGGCAAGCCTGGCCTCTGACTTTTGTCCCTCTAGATATAAAAGGCTAATAAAGCACAGACCAGCCTCTTGGCAACCTCTTATAGATGGCCAGTACCACAGAGGCTAATACAGCTTCAAATGCTAAGGTGATTTCTCTAGATTCCCCCTCTCCCTTGACACTCAGCCCAGTAATTCTTTATCTCCTTAACTTTTAAGACTCATTAAAGGTTTTTGTTTGTTTGTTTTTTAACATTTGTCCAGTTCTTATTAGTTGTGTTCAGTAGGAAAACTGGTCTGAATCAAAAAGACTGATTTTATCAAAGTGGTCATTTCGAGTTCCTTACCTCCTTTACCTCTGTTTTATTCTTTTGTTTTTCTTTCCTTTTTTGGTCATAGGGTGCATGCTTGTCAAAAAGAGACAGAGGAAGGGACAAGCAGTTAGCATAATGGCTATGTCGCTGGACTCCCATGTAGTCGACCGCAGTTCGAGTCTCGGACCTGGTGGCTTAAACTCACGCCAGGTGCATGTGCGTGTGTGCCCAAGATCCCGAGAGGAGAATGGAGGAGAAGGGATTGCGGTGTGGCCATCCCCCCTGGGGGGTGATTTCTCACTTTCTGTCTCTCTGTCTGTCTCTGTCTTTCTGGCTAGCGCACCCGCCCTATAGTGAAAACCTCTCAAAAAACAAACAAAAAACAAACAAACAAAAAAAGAGACAGGAAGAGAAAGTGCTCCTCTCCCCCTGCCCCCCCGCAATGGGATGTGGTCATTCTGCAATCCCTTATATTTCATCATCCTGTCAGGATTTGTGGCATGCATGCACATATGCCTGCAGTATTTTTCAAGCTGTCATGTTTGGAATTTGAATCACTCAGTCAGCCAAGTAAGATGCAGCACCCTTAATCACCAGGCCATGAAACTGGTCCCTTTCTCTTTTTATAGGCTTACTTAGTTCTTCCATGAGTGAGAGAGTACTCCCAACAGGGTCCTAATGTCAAGATCCACTCCCAGATCATGGGCAAGTGTGTACCTAGCATACTCTGTAGGCCTCTGGACTTGAACTAGTGAACTTCACATTGGGATTGCCTTGCAAATGTTCATGTTTTACCACCATGTCGATATGTGGCCCCTTTATTCTTTCTTTAGCCCAATATCAGATATGCTGAGTTAAGCCTCTCTCCCATTCTTTTTCCTTTCACATTTTTTTTTTTTGAGAGGTTTTTGCTATAGGGTGCATGCACTCGCCAGACAGACAGAGAGAGAGACATAGAGACAGAAAGCGAGAAATCACCACCCAGGGGGGATGGTCATGCCACAATCCCTTCTCCTCCATTCTTCTCTCAGGATCTTGGGCACGCACGCACACGTGCCCAGCGTGAGTTTAAGCCACCTGGTCCGACACTCGAACCACGGTCGACTACATGGGAGTCCAGCGACATAGCCATTATGCTAACTACTGGTCCCTAAGCACATTAACTTTTGTCCTAGAATCTATTAATAAGAGAACAGTACATCTGTAATTATAAAATCTTTGGCATCTGAAAAGTTACTAAATCACCCTTTATTCTTGCCCTCTCCAAATTAAATAACCAAATTCTTTTCTTAATATGCTTGATATTTTTGAATGCTCAGATCTTGCAATATTATGCAATATTAGTAATATGCAATATTAACTAATACATACTTCACAAGGATAATTAAGAAAACACGAAGAATTAAAATTACAGTTACTTGAAAATACCAATGTGGTAGGTATAGTATCATTATGAGTAATAAATTAAGACCAAGATACACTGCTGTTCATTATCCATTCAACACCTTTGTGTCACTTTTAGCATTCCAGAGCACAACAATCCTTACCAGGGGACTTTCCTTGCTGAGAGTTGCTTCTTCGCTCTCTGTATCTGGCTGGAGTGGATAAACCTGTGTCTTTACTAGGCTTGCTAGCAGGGCCCATTTCTGAAATGAGGAATCCCATTTGTTCTGAAGGCAAGATATTCTCAAGTGGACTGGTCTGGCATTTTATACTGGTATCCACCTAAAAACATTTAAATGTACTCATTATTTTGAGATTTCCCCCCAAATATCTACTAAAAGTTGTTTTATCAAAGGAGTTCTGTTACAGGAGCATGATCCAACAAACATGCCTGTAAGCCTTTCTGTTTATGTGAATATTACCTTTGATTTTGTTGAGTTTTCTAAATACTCAGTAGTAAAATAAACATTTCCCCTACATGAACCATTGAAACGTATGTGAAGCTAAACATTTACTTAATATTCAGAGAAATATTTACTATGTAGCTGATTTCTTCTTTTATTTACAAAAAGAAGATATTTTAATCACTACCTTCTCCTGCTTCAGCATACTAATATCAGACCTCCCCTCCTGTTGGTAATACTGAAGTGGTCACAGACACAATGCTATTGGATGGTGTCACTGGAGTGTGAATATTTTAATTTACTAATTTTATATCCTTTATCTTCAAAAGACCCTTAAGAGCCAGTGTGGCTGGTGGCTGGTGTAGTGGTTATAACAGCATAATTCCACATGGTTGACTGTGGCTTGAGTCTTGGACCCAGCAACTTGAGAAACATGCCAGGTACCTGTGCGTGCACACCCAAAATCCCAAAAGGAGGCGAGATAGAGGAGAAAGGATTATGGTGTGACTCTGCCCCACGGTGGTGGTGGTGGGGAGTGGAAGGTTCTCACTTTCCCACTCTCTCTCTGTCTCTCTTCAACAAACACGCACATGCCTTTTGGCAATTTTTTCTTAAAGGAAAGGGGAAGGGACCAGCAGTTTGCATAATGGCTATGTCGCTGGACTCCCATGTAGTTGACTGAGGTCCGAGTCCCGAACCCGGCTGCTTAAACTCACGCCGGGGGCGTATGCGTGCATGCCCAAGATCCCGAGAGGAGAAGGAACTGTGGTGTGGCCATCCCCACTGGGGGGTGATTTCTCGCTTTCTGTCTCTCTCTGTCTTTCTGGCCAGTGCACGCACCCTATAGCTAAAACCTGCCCCCCCCCCAAAAAAAAAGGAAAAGGAAAAAAGTCATTGTGTTTGTGAATGCAGTTTAAAGATATAAAGCCCAATATTCCAGATGTGACTATGAAGGAACAAAGACAAATTCTGTGCTCTTTCTACATGTATATTCAGAACATAAAATGACTATATTTTGACTTCTGAATTTATTATATTATCTTATATGATATACTAGGTATCAAAAAAGACAATGAGGGACCAGCAGTTAGCATAATGGCTATGTCCCTAGATTCCCACATATTCGACCGCAGTTCGCATCCTGGACCCGGTGGCTTAAAACCCACGCCGGGTGCGTGTGCGTGCGTGCCCAAGATCCCAAGAGGAGAATGGAGGAGAAGGGATTGCGGCATGGTCATCCCCCCTGGGGGTGATTTCTCACTTTCTGTCTCTTTGTCTCTCTCTGTCTGTCTGGCGAGCGCACGTGACCTATAGCAAAAACCTCTCAAAAAAA